GGAAAATGGGGTATTTAAATTCCCTATTATTTCTGGGTTGCTATATCTCTTTTCAGATCTGTTAATATTTGCTTTATTATATATTTAGGTGTTGCTGTTGGGTGCAAAAGTGTTTACAAATGTTGTATTTTATTGATGAATTAACTCTTTTATCATTAAAAATGATATTCTTTGTCTTCTGTTATAGTTTCTGGCTTCAAGTCAATTTGTCTGATATAACTATAGCTACTCCTTCTTTCCTCAGTTTCCATTTGCATGGTGTTTTTTCCCTTCTTTCACTTTTGATCTGTTTGTATCCTTAAAGCTGAAATGAGTCTCCGTAGGCAGCACAGGGTTAGGTCTTTTCTTTTCTTTCTTTCCTTCTTTTTTAAATTCATTCAGCCAGGGCACCTGCGTGGCTCAGTCGGTTAAGCGACTGCCTTCGGCTCAGGTCATGATCCTGGAGTCCCGGGATCGAGTCCCACATCGGGCTCCCTGCTCAGCGGGGAGTCTGCCTCTCCCTCTGACTCTCTTCCCTCTCGTGCTCTCTATCTCTCATTCTCTCTCTCTCAAATAAATAAATAAAATCTTTAAAAAAAAATAAATTCATTCAGCCACTCTGTCTTTTGGTTGGAGAATATAGTTCATTTACATTTAAATAGACGTCAGTAGGAACAGATTTAGTATTGACATTTTGTGAATTGTTTTCTAGTTGATTTGTAGTTCCTTTGTTCCTTTCTCCCTTTCTTGTTCTCTTCTTTTGTGATTTGATGATTTTCTGAGGTGGTATGTTTTGGTTCCCTTCTCTTCATGTTTTGTGTTTCTTCTATGATAAGTTTTTGCTTTGTGGTTACCATGAGGCTTTAATAACACATCTTATAGCTATAATAGTCTATTTTAAGCTGGTAACAACTAAACTGAATGCATACAAAAACTCTACAATTCTACACATTTCTTCCCACATTTTGTTTTTGATGTCACAATTTACATCTTTTTATATTGTGTATATGTTAAGAAATTATTGTAGTTATAATTACTTCTAATATTTTAGTTTTTTAACCTTTATGTTAGAGTTAGATGTGATCTACCCACCACTATGACAATATTGGAGTATTCTGAATTTTTCTGTATACTTACCATTAGCAGTGGGTTTTATACTTTCATATGTTTTTTTTTAAAGATTTTATTTATTTATCTGATATATATATATATATATAGAGAGAGAGAGAGCGCACAAGCAGGGGGAGTGGAAGGCAGAGGGAGAAGCAGGCTTCCCACTGAGCAGGGAGCCCGATGCAGGACTTGATCCCAGGACCCTGGGATCGTGACCTGAGCCAAAGGCAGACGCTTAACCAACTGAGCCAACCAGGCGCCCTACTTTCATATGTTTTTATGTTACTAATTTATGTCCTTTTATTTCAGCTTGAAACATTAACATTTCTTGTAAAACCATTCATGATCAACTCTCTTAGTCTCTGCTTGTCTGGAAAACTCTTTCTCTCTCCTTCAGTTCTCAAGGACAACTTTGCCAGGTAGAGTATTCTTGGTTAGCAGTTTTTTTCCTATCAGCACTTTGAATACATACATCATCCCACTTCCTTCTTACTTAGAAAGCTTCTGCTGATAGTCTTGTTGTACTTCCCTTGTACATAACAAGTTACTTTTCTCTTGCTGCTTTTAAGGTGCTCTCTTTGTCTTCAATTTGTGAATAACTTAACTGTAATGTGTCTCCGTGTGTCTCTCTTAAGATGCAGCTTATTTGGTATATTTTGGTCTTTTTTCTGGAATTGGATTTATATGACTTTCCCCAGGTTAGGGAACTTTTTGGCCATTGTTTCTTGGAAGAAGCTTTCTGCTCCTCTGTCTCTGGCTCCCCGTCCAGGAGCCCTGCACGTGTCTGCTGCTCCGCGACGGCACACGCTAAGTCCCTGCTGTCTTCACTCCTTCCATTTTTTTTTTTTCTTTTTGCTTCTCTGATTGAGTAGATTCCACTGCCTTGTCTTCAAGTTGGCTGGTCTCTCTTTCCACTTATTCTAGTCTACCATTGAACACCTCTACTGAATTTTGTAGTTAGTTATTGTATTCTTCAGCTCTGTGATTTGTTTGGTATTTTTTTTTAATATTTTCTAACTCTTTGTTGAAATGCTTCCTTTGTTAATGCCTTGCTCTCCTGACCTCAACAAACAACTGTATGAGTGTTATTTTGAACTCTATTGTGTAAATCACTTATTTCCATTTCATTAAGATTTGTTTCTGGAGATTTATTTTGTTCTTTTGTTTGGAATATATTTCCTCGTTTCTTCATTTTCCTTGATTTCCTGTGTGGGTTGGTTTCCGTACATTCGGTAATAGAGATAGCTCCACCAGTCCTGACACACTGGAGTCGTACAGGAGATGAGCCTCATCCAATCAGTATGGGCTAAACTGCTGGTTGTCTTTTAAATCTATGTGATTTACTCAAACAGCTTTCTTTCTTTTTTTTTAGTGGCTCCTAGGAGTTGAGGGACCTGACAGTGTTCCAAAGGGAAGGATCACAGGCAGCACCCAGATGCAGGCTGATGGTAAGACCGACTCTCAAGAAACAGCTTGTGAAATATATAGTCAAACCCATTTTAGGGAAAGACTTGCCAGTTCCCTCTCCATTGAGCCCTGGGGGAATACCTGGGTGAGCACTCTCGTGTACCTGTTAAGAACTGCCTCATTGTTCACTACAGTCCTGTGGGATTTGTGAATGCAAGCTCCATTGGTTATCAGATCCAGTCATCCCTTGAGTGGCAAGAGTAAAACGCAGGGCACCAGGCATGTGTACAATCTTCTTCTAGAGACAGGCTGATGACCTGGTTTTATAGTGGGAGTGAGCCAGAGGGAGAAGGTGACAGAAATGCCCACCAGCTCCCCTGGGCTCCATGGGGGATCATAGCCAGTTCCTTAATGAATGCAGCCAGACTCTTGCATATGGACTCTCAGCAGCAGATTGTAAAGTAGGTAGTCAATTTCCTTTCAGGGACAGACTAGAGATGGGCATTTTTGCCTGCTCCCTCTGTGCTAATAAAGCCTGTGAGGATAGTTAACAGTGAATGCTCACGAGCCCGTTAAGAATGGTTTCTATAGTCCTGTGGGTCTTGTGGACGTATAACCAACTGGCTTTCAGAGGCAGGTGTTTTGGGGGCCTGTCTCTTGAGTGACAGCCTTAAAAGCTGGGGTGCTAAATGTATGGTCCAAATCCTCTGCTGCTCATGGAGAAGCTGGGAGTTGGGGATGCCCTCTTGATTGTATGGTATTGTGCTGGGTATAGTTTCTGTGGAAAGAGTGTGTCTCAGCCTTTCCTACCCATTTCAATGTGGGTTATTTTCTTAGTTGCCTGATGTGTGTAGGAGTCACTGAGCTACTTTCCCGAATTCTCTCAGAGGGACTACTCTGTGTGTATCTGGGGGAGGAGGGGAGCTCAGGAGCTCCAACTAAACAGTCCTGCTGAATTGGTGAAGTAGCAGTTTCTCATTAATTGTAAATTGTAATTGGAAGTTATAAACGGAATTATTCTCTTAACTTCATTCTCAGAATGTTAGTTGCTACTGTACAGAAATACAGAAATTTTTTATATTGACCTATATCCTGAAACCCTGCTGAATCTACTTATTAGTTCTCATATTAGATTTTTTTATTAGATTCCTTAGGAATCTAATTAAGATTCCTTATTTTTTATTAGAGTCCTTAGGATTTTCTATTCACAAAGTCTTTTTTTTTTTTTCCAATCTGAATGCCTTTTATTTCTTTTTCTTGCTAAAAGCTTCAGTACAGTGTTCAACATAAATGATGAGGGGGCATCCTTGTCTGTTCCTGATCTTAGGAGGAAATCATTCAGTCTTTCAACATTAACTATATTAATATAACCTTTCTTTTTGATAATGGATTTACTTCCTATTTGGGAATCCTATGCAATAGTTCTCAAGAAATAGCTGTTGATTGGCCCAATGAAACAAAATTCATTCTGGTTTTGGAAATCACAGTTATTTAGAGATAAATGAATAAGTCGAGAAAGCATAATTGATACAATATATTATAATGCAGATATGCACAAGTTACTGATGGTGACTTATGGTAATCTTTTACCATACGAATTTGACAGTCTATTGCTGAATTTTAATATCTCAATTCCATAGTGTGATCCATCCACTAAGAATTCCTGTGTCAGAGGGTGATGGCCCACTCATGGATAAATCTGAATCTCTTTTGCAGCCTTTGGTTCTTTTCCTGTCTTAAGCAAAAGATCCTGACCAAAGAAATATGTGGTAGGAAAAGAGAAAAAGGAGAAAACATTCTTAACTTCTCTAAAATGAACCACATCTGAGATCAAGCCCTTTGGCCAGACGATGCTCTAATGAAGCAAGGAGAATGGCACTCTGTGTAGCTCTCTTTCCGTCTACACTGCAGAGTTAACAAGAAATACTTGGTGAGCCTTGGCAAGAAATCTAAAAGGACCTGCCTTAGGCCTTGCAGGATTTTATACTAGTGTATGTATCTTGTTCAATAATCATCTATATATAATATATGAAAAGCTGACATAATCTAAAAAAATATGGATTACTCACAACCAAAAGATTTCCTTATATAGCCATTTCAATCTTGCTTTTCTTAAAATCAGAAGACATGGGTCATCAGTTCAATCATCCTTGTGATATCCTAAGTATTGGCAATCTTGATCCATACAGTGGTACATTTATCATTTATACAGAGAAAAGACCATTATTTAATTTGCCAGGTGATATCATAGTAAAGCAAACATCATAATTACTTTTAAAGGTCGCTTTGGCAGATGTCAAGCTAGTTTGCATCAACATATATTGAACTGCGCATTAGAAATATAATAACCACTGTAACAAAAATCTTATATTAGGGGTTATAAAAAGCTTAGTAAGTAATGTAATTTATTCATTTACTGAAACGTTATTTTAAAGCACAGTTAAAATAATCTGGAAAGCTTGAGTAATTCTTCTGAAAAACAGAAAATAGAGAGCTCTTACCAAGTTTGCAATGATGTAATGGTAGCCTTTTACGTGCTTCCCAACGCTCACAATCTATGAAAATAGAAGGAAACAAGAGAAAACCAATTTAACTTTACTGAAGGATATTTTTAAAAATAGAATTCTAACTCTTTTAACCTAATTCCACGTGGAAACATGAGAAAATGTTACACTTTTCCTTATAACTAGAAGAAATTCCTAAGCTACCTTAAAAATTAAGTGATTAAAGTAAAAAAAAAAACCCAACACACTAATTTCAATCATGCTGTATAAATGATCTTTCATTCAGTAAACCTTGTTCAAAAAACTACTATGCTATAATTCCCTCAAAGAGAAGGAGATGGTTTTGAAACAAAAGGATGGTTCATATATATATATTCTTTTATATATATATATATATATATAAAAGAATATACACAAACATAAGAAACTTAAAATTATTTTGGTCCAAAGAATATAGACATCCTTAATTTGTTGATAATTTATAGAAATGTATGATAAGCTGTTAGGTGTCTTCCACTATTAAGAATGATTTTCTATGAGTAGACTGTATTTTTGTCCTGAGCAGCAAGCAAGGTTTTTGTAAGGCACAGTATCTGTGTTTAGATGCCTCTGATACTACAGAATACTTAGTTAATTCCCACCTGCATATGGATAGAACAATATTTTATTATAATCAAAAGAATAAAGACAAAACAACATCAAGAGAATTTTCCTCTCTGCTAGATTCATTAGTTTTTTTCCTAAGAATGTTTTTAGGTATGTTTCAGGAACTAGGAATTCAGAAATTTCTAACACAGAAACAAAACTCTTGTTTTCGATAAAATTGACAATTCCTTCAATGAGAGAACATCTAACGACAGATACTGATGAGTTCTGTAACTTCACTGGTTCCTCAAAGGGGACAACACAATATATGAGTTTCATGTACTTTCATCATCAAAGAAAAAATGAAATTGTTTTTAGTGTTTTAATATCCTCTAAAAATAATTCTTTGTAAATGGGTGGCTTGTGTATAAAATAAAGGAAAACCCTTTTAAAATCCAGAACAAACTGTGCTCAAAAACAGAGCTTTGCACACAAGGCCACTGGTGAAACGGAGTCTCTGCTCATCTCATCGTTTCTTTTTGGTCACAGCTAAGACCTCCTCTTTATCCTGACGGCTCTGCAGTTTCACTACAATGGAGTTGGGATTTTTACTTCTTAGTATTTGTTTATATTGTTCGGGATTTGTTGTGCTTCCTGAGTATGAGGATTTCCCTTCAACAATTCTGGGAAATTCTCTACCGATATCCCTGAAAACATCCCTTCAAAGATGTCTGTGTTTGCTTCCAACAGGTACTGCAATGTTGCTATCACTGATTCCCAGCTCCCAGTGTGTGGTACAAATGCACATTCAATTCACAACCCACCTAACGAGGGTTGTGATGACCACTTCTCACCGGGGGTGTCAGCCCCACCACAAGGAGCCTGGCCCCAGGTGGAAAACACTCGGGGGATCCCTTGTGCAGGTAGCAGATTGTTTTCTAGTCCTGTTACTGCGGTGTCACCCTTCAAGAGTGTGGCTTTCAATCGGACCCGAGTTCAGACTTACTGCCTTGGCTGAGCCCAAAGTTTCTGTCCTCGGGTAAGCATTGACCCCCAAGTCAGGCTGCCCAATCTGGCAACTTCCATAGGCACAGTTGCCTTTCCTTCCTGGCTCCTGAAGATTTTCTTTATTCTCCAGGAAGCTCCACTATGCATTTGCAATGTTTTACGCAGCATCTCTCTCTCTTTCCTATTGCCTGATTCATCTAATCCATAGTTTGTCTGAAACTGAACGTCCCTTGACAGTCTCACATGAAGACGAGGACAAGCAACATGTAGATGGGATCATAAAGAAAGTCCTGGAAAGAAACCGCGTAATTAGTCATCATGCTGGGTAACCCAAAACCAAGTGATTTAGCCTGCGCTGAGGAGGCCAGAGCCCTCGGATTCTCTGGGAATCTCAGGTGGAGCTTGTGCAAAAGATAACTGTCAAGGAACACTGGATGGCTGGTACTCAGGATACGCTCTTGCAGAGTTGCCAGAGCTTCCGCTACGGGACCTCAGCAGGGATTGTTGCCCCAGGACAGTTCCTTACTTCTCTCTTGCGGGTTCACCGCAACCCTCGCTGGGGTGACGGGGCCAGCCTCCTGCACTCTCCGCCCTCACACTCATCCTACCTCTTCTCTCTCAAGGCTCTCAGCCTGGGATTTCTCTGTGGCTGCAGTCCATAACCTCTCCCTCCCCTAAAGTCACTGCAAGGAGCTAACACTGGTAAATGTTAAAAAGACGGGGAACCAGTAGAAATTCTGCACTCGGTGCCTCCACAAGGAAATGACTGTCAGTTCCAGATTGCCTAGCAAAGAACTGCAATAAATTCAAGCTTATATAATATGTTTTCAAGGGACGAGGACTTAGAGAAACCACAAACAGCCAAAAGTGACACAAATCCTAGCAGAAAAGGCCTTGCAGAGCTTGGTGTGCATCAGCATTATGGGAACTGGGGCCTTGGGGAGCAGTGATCTGAGCATTTATTTACCTGGCTGGGCAGGCCAGAGAGAACACCATTTTTGCTGAGCCAGATCCTTGCTGGGGAAAAACCAATGTGCCGTACAAATTACTGAACACTCTCACCCTGACCACGGTGGGCCAAGGGTTAAGGCCAGATCTTGGTCCCTCTGCCAAGCATCCAACACTAGATGGAAGTTTCTTTGTGGAAAAAAAAAAAAATCCAGTGTATACTCCAATACTCTAAAGTGTCCTGCATCCACAGTGTTGTTTGCTTAAGTTAAAAAAAATTTTAATGGTTGTGTGAAACTGACGGTGTCACGGGTGTGGTTTGACATGGCTATCACTATCTCAACCAAAGTGCAGACTGTCTTGTGTGTAAAACACAAAAAATAAAAAAAGAAAAAAACAAAACAAAAACCAAACCAAACAAAAAAACAACCAAACAAAAAACTCAAAAACAACAAATCCGAGTGACTTGACTTTGAAAGTGGGCCAAACCTTCTGTCTCTGTACTTCTGATGTTATTCTTTATAAAGAAGGAAAATAAATGGTGAGGTGAAAGATACGAATTTATAACAGCACGAGTATGTCTGTACCACCAGTGACTGTCAGAGACACGGCTGGCCGCCCACCGAGCCTCATCGTCTGACCGGAGCGTGCTGCTGTGACGGCCAGCGCCCGAATTTCCGTGACGTTAGGGTATCCTCTGGTCCCCGGAGCCCACGTTGCTCATGGTGGGGAGGGGCGGGAGGCCAGGTCGAAGTGCCAGGGAGTGAAAGCCCTCCCCCCAGCAGCCCTCCCGCAGTGACTGACAAGTGTGTTTGGCCCAGTTGTTAAGGGAAAATGAAGCCTACGATGAGGAATTGGTTGCAATAATTAATTATGGCCTTTCATAAAGACAGAAAAATGTTGGAGTAGAGACTCTGCATCTCTATTCTTTTCATCTTCTTAAAAGAAACAGATGATGCAAATGGACAAAGAATAATGAGCAAGTGTCTGTTCAGAGTTCTAAAGAACGGGTTAGGAAGAATACACAAGTTCCACTGATCATACATTTTCCAAGGAGCCCTTCTTTATGAGGATAAAACGCTTAGGAAGAGGGACTAATTGATTCCTTTGATTACTTTTTTCTTCTTTGTTTTCTAGGAAACAAACAGTTGCTTAGAAATATCTATGGTGCTGGTCAAATGATTCAATTCTAAAATCAGGCCTATGTATACTAATAAGGTAAATGCCAGATGCAGTCACTGCATTGTTTTATTAACAAATTATGGCATAAGCTTTACGACTGTGACTTCTAAATCTTTATTCATTTATTAAAATAAGGGAAGAATGAATCCAGGACACTTTTCCACCTTGACCTCACCTTTACATAAATTTAGTTCAATAAATGTGTCCTAGGTATAAATTTAGGGTAAGAAGATTCACGGCTTATAGACATAAGTAAGCGTGTTTAATTCATCTCTTAAGGGGATGAGCCTCAAACAGAAATGGCTGAAATGCAGAGTAAAGGGAATGCCCTGGATTTTAAGAAGTGGTATCATTTGGTTGGGAGAACAAGGTAATTTGAAAGACAGAACAGATGTTAAATAAATATTGACTGAGTGGATGAATACAGAAGTTAGCATATAAATGCCACAGACACAGTATATATATTAAGATTAGTTTGAGACTTGTAAATGATGAGAGTTTGGCCTTTAACCCACAATCCAATTTTACGTGAGTCCCTCATGTATCAGTGGTTTATAGAGCATTCAGGGGTCTTTCCAGATGAGGGCTGCTGTGTATTACCTCAAACTATTATTACAAAGCCACCATCATGACACTGAACACTGTCTTCAAGCTGGAGGCCTGCAATGGCACACCTGAATATGAATAATTTTGGTTTTCCTTCTCCTTTGATTTTACAAGTCAGCTGGAAATTCCTCTGCCATCTGTTATCATGTTCCAGAGAATTCCGAGACATGAGCACAGCAGTCCGGCATTTGGTGGTGTTGGGGACACAATGCCCAGTCAACATTGGGGACCTCCTGTCACTCTCTCTAATCCCAAAACCCCAGATGTCTCTCGAATGTTGATTTTTCAGGATGCTTCAAAATATTTTATTATAGACAAAAACACAAGCTTTAGCTTGTTTAGTTTGTTTAGTTTACCTCAGTTTCAGCAAAAGAAAAACATAAGGCAAAGGGCTTTTGCAAACAAACTGCAGTTACAGCCTCATGAGAAAACAGCAGAACTGTTCCTTCTGGGGGTGTGATTCACAGACGGAGAGGAAAATAAAGAACCCCAGAAGCAAAGGAGCGAGGCTAGTATGAGAAGAGATTCACGGAGAAGACGGAAGGAGAGTGCTCATCAGACGTCTTAAGTGGAAGGGGTACGTGCACACACACACATACACACGTACACAGGTGTAGTTTTTTTTCTTCTACCTTGGAGATGTTAGAAATTATAAAAGTTTCTAATTAGGACAAACTCATTTTTAGGGAAAAGGGAGAGGAAGAGAGTTGCCCATAAAGGGA